GGGGCTACTCGGCATTCGCCCGACTGAAACCCCAGTATGGACCTAGTCGGTCAGAACCCGACTCGACTCGCTAGTTCAATTCCACTCGCCTATAAGGGGGCTACTCGGCGTTTACCCGATTGAACCATCAGTATGGACCTAGTCGGTCAGAACCCGACTCGACTTGCCCTCACTCACCTCACGCCCTCGTGATAAGAACGGTTAAGGAAATCCCTTCATTCTCGGGGCCCAAGAGGCCCATGAACGAGGTACCATAAAACCCAAAACCCTAGAATTGAGAAAAACATATTACACTTTTGAATGCTCTGGCTCTAAGGCTTAACCTAGGAAGAAACCCTAGTCTACCTTTTGGCCGGAACAAAAACAAATATTTTTTTTATGGTTCACGCATGAACCATTTGAAGCAGTTCTTCACCGTGGAAAGCACCCTCAAAGCTATTTATCAAACTTTCTTTGATTATTAACTGACCACTTGTATTCATTTCCATTACTTTTTATTATTTAATTTACTTTTAAAATAAAGGTGAAATTGTATCGACCTCTTCTAAAGTTTGTCTAAATGACATAAACCACTTTTTAGTTTTTAAAAAACAAAGATCTTTCTTGATGTTAATTCTACTTAACTTCTTAAATTATATATAAAAGTAAAAAAAAAAATTGTCTAGGTAAAAAATAATAAATCATTAATATGTATGACTTTCTTCTTTGTTTATTAACAAACTCCCTCTTCGTTATTATCTCTTCTTTTCGGTATCTTTATTTAAACAACTCTTTTAAGTATTATTTATTTATGCAAACAAAAATGTAGTTTTGTAAATGTTGCATAATTTCTCTTTTGGTAGTTTTAATATTTAACCGAGAAACATCCTATTGGGACTATAAAGTCACATCTTTAATTTATACATCTTTAATTTTTAAGTTTCTTGAACTTAATTGTAAGTGATCAATATCATTAATAAGATTTTTAGATGAGAATAACTAATCACTTGTACTTTTGTGTAGTTCACCAGTAAAAAACATTCCTTTTATGTGCGTATCATGTAACAGGAGAATGAAGCCAAGAACAAAAATATGCACTAATAATTCTATACACTTTTTCAATTGTAGAAAAAATTCAAATAGTAAAAGAGAATGAGTTTTAACATGTAAATGAATTAAACCATGAAAAATATAATATATAAAAATAAATAAGAAAATAAGAAAAAATAAGTCAACTAATGAATAGAATAGAAGTTGGTGTAATTTTGATAAGCCTCATGCGAGGTTATAGCAATTTTTCCTAATTATAAATTTACGTTTAACAAGTTGGAGATACTTTTAAGTTTTACCACTCCAAACATTAATTTGGATCGATTTTGTGCCGTTGACAACAGATCATAAGGCCCAATCTTTCCCTCATGGAAAAGGCTGCGTCCCGCTCCTTTTTTGTTGGGCTATATTTCCGTTTATATGACCCACCAAAAAAAAAACGAACGTCCTCAACAATGGGCCAAAACAAAACAAAACAAAGAAACGGTCTAATAATAAAAATAATTTGTAAAAAAAAAATAAAAAACGTTTAAAAACGCCGTTGCCGGGGATCGAACCCGGGTCACCCGCGTGACAGGCGGGAATACTTACCACTATACTACAACGACTTGGTTGATGTTCAAATTCCTACGTAAAGTCTTATTTTTAGTTTAAGGTTATTTCAAAGTTGAACACAACAATGAAAATCACCTTAATTAGAGTAAAACACTACGTAAATTTATCAACGTAACCATTCTAACCACTTTGCAGTAGGATTAAGTGGTTAAAATCAGGTTTTGATGGTTAACATAGAATGAGAAGCGTTTTTGGGCATAAATTAACAAAAGGGGTGAGTTTGATTTGATAGATACGTGACTGCTAAGTGTAAAGTGTTTTTATAGTATCATGGATTTATAATTAGTTGAACTTTTATGGGCGAAAATAATTTCGCATACTTAAGCAAATCATTCACGCAATTATTTCCCCTAAGTTGTAACGTCTCTTTTATATAATCTGTAATGATTTGAGAATAAAGGACCAAAAAAACAAAAGAATTGGGGAATATGATACTTTACATAACAGGCACACACTCTTCTCATCACTTCCATACCTGTGTGTTTGAGATTTTCTTATTATAATCATAACTACACCCATTGATTATATATAACCCGTTATCAATTCATGAACTAATTAATAATATTGTCTCACATAAACATGAAATAGACTGTTAAAAAAAATTATACGTTTTATGTGTATTAATATTTTTTTTTAATGGTGGATGATGATGCATGTGGGTGGGAAAGAAAAATTAAAGGATAGTAATTAATATGGCTATATCTAACACATTCTTTTAAAAATCATGAATTTATGTAGTGATGTTGTAATTTTTAATTGATAATAAGAAAGAGTTTTGCTAAGAGATGTGTTCTTAGTTACTATTCGTCATGAAAAGGAAACATGGCTAAAAGGGACATGTCCTCTAGTGTATGTACAAGAAAACGTGCCTAGTTGATAAAGGATATAGGGGCATCCCAATTATACTGATCCTCTTCCATTAAAATTCACTTGAAGCACATGCAAACTACTTTCTTTTCTTTGGCTTGCTAAAGGACGCAGTTGCTAAATTCTCTCCTTTTTGCTTCTTTAGATTATTATATGCATAACCATGGTACACTGAAACGGTAGTAGAAGGGGTCGCATGTTATCTTCCACTCACCACCACTATAATATTTTGCTAATTGTTGAGGGGAACCAACTGCCATGCAAACCAAAAACTGTCCCTCTTCACCTATAGAATGTGCTTCATTAAGAAAATATTCCTCATTTTTTTCCCTCTATTTAGACTTTACATTAAACACCCGACAAAGGTAGATGTATGATATTAGAACTCCCATTCTTTTTCGTGTCTTTACCTAACAAACTATTGAAGATGAGTATACCCTATATATGCAGTGATACTACGATGTCCATCAATCTTTGCACTGTTTAGACTAGCCACCGAAATAGTAGAAAAAAGTAGTCATATTCATTTGAAGAATATCATAGAATATACTGGTATCCATGACTAAAAAAATCGGCAAAAGAATGAAACAAAGCAATCAATGGGCTTTAGTTGCTTGTCTAACAGGAAATTCACTCCCTTTCTATTTCATTTCCACCCCCAGTTGATACCTTAAATTATGTCAAAGATTCCTAGTCAACAAGTAAAATGGTTAAAATAATATATACAAGTGAATAACATTCTTTACTTTACAAATTAATTTTGTAAAATAATTAGGCTAACACATTTTTTAAAATAGTAACAAAACTTATCTTAGTAATTATTAATTGTTGTTAAACTTATCAGATCATTTACAATTAATTTGTTATTTAACCACGCGTAAATATTTAGTTCTATAAATTTTATGTTTAAAATATTAATTCTTACAAATTTTATGTTCAAAATCTGACATCAATTAGTAATATAAATAATAATATTTTTACGTGAAAAATATTTTATTTTGTCAAAATTAATTAAAGTGGCTTTTGGTAGGTAACGTAGAGATGTTGTTATAGTTATAACTTCTTCCAAGTGATATTAGTTAAAAAAAAATATATAAAAATAACTTTTGTCATAGTATTATCATTATAAACCCTCGATTCAACAAATAACGTGGTAATTTGTATGTATTATTTTCCTCTAGCTAGTTATGTTATTCAATAAATCATATACATATAAGGAAGCTAATCAATCTATAACTCACAAACCCATATGCATTGCTTAATTATGAGAAATAACTCATTGTGCAATGCGACAACGATAAGACCTGTGCATATTTAATTCTGTTAAGTGTCTAGGATCAAAGTGATTGAAGGCTTTGATAAGCGACGTGGGTGCATTAGGGTGGGAGAGGGAAAGAACAAATTCATAGCCACAAACATAGGAGCTATGTGGGATGATTTGGCAATGATTTTCCACGTACTAATCACTCATTAGTCCACCTTGACGACACTAATTTTTTCTACAACATTCATGGAAGCAACTCTCAATGCCTTTTTGGCCTTCCATGCATGTGCGTGTCCAAAATGACTTCGCCGCAGTGCCGGTGTCCGGTAACTTTCTAATCCCATTCGTGGCATATGCGTTTTTCATTCATCCTTCGTCATTAAGCTAAAGCCATCTTCTTGAGGACCCCATTATTTTACCATCACCAAATCAAAATCAAAAAGATATAAATCCACTAAAATCAATCCCCACCACTAAAGTTTGCATGGAGTTAATTGAAGTACTCCATTGTTTTAGTTTTTACTAAAAGAATGACACTCACCCATCTGAAAAGTCTCTAACCCAATTCTAATTTTATATTCATTTTTAGTAAATACAAAAGAGACTATTGAATAGACCAAGTGTCTAGGCTATCTCAATCTCTATATAATATATATTTATGTTTTTTAATTTACTAAAAATTAGTATTCTATTTTTTTTTTATCAGAAACAAATAATAGTATACAAATAAAATAAAAAATAGAGATAATACATAATTTATTTCTTATAAAAAGGCTAAAAGAAATAATATATCTAATTACATATTATATTGTATAAAAATTCATCATATATGTATTGTGGAGACAATTTGTTTAAAGTAAAATATTTATTTTAGGAATGAATTCAATATTTGATTTGTGTCCTATACAAGTTTCTTTGAGTAGGTTAAAAATGGGCATGATAAGAAAAGAAGAAAAAAAAAAGATAAACTCGTATAATTTTCTGTGATGCCCTACTTTTTCTTTTCTTTGGACAAATATGCCATAGCTTTCCAATTTCTTTTGCCGTGGTGGGTCCCACATATTGTCGCGTTTTTCACTTTTTCACACCTTAAATACCCATCCCCTACAATGCAGTTCTTCCCTTTTCCCCTCCTTTCCTCCCTCCGGTTCATCTTTGAAACAAACCGGTTCAATCATTTCCCTTCTAATTTTCCGCATTGCAACAGCAACAACAACAATGTTCTTCCACGAAGGCGAAGCGGTTCAGCCCTCATATTTCCCGGTTCTCGAAACCACGTTCACGCCGAGCGAAATAGAGGAGCTGTTTTCCCTAGTTAACGAACCGGCCTTCCAGGAAGGCGAAGCGGTTCAGCCCTCATATTTCCCGGTTCTCGAAACCACGTTCACGCCGAGCGAAATAGAGGAGCTGTTTTCCCTAGTTAACGAACCGGCCAGCTCCGGGTCCGGTTCGCATGGCTCGAACCGGGCGGTTCGGTCGACGCACGAGAGAAAGCTTAGGCGAAAGGAGTCGAACCGGGAATCGGCCAGGCGGTCCCGCTGGAGAAAGAAGCGGCACTTAGAGAACCTCACAAACCAACTGAACCGGTTCAAAATGGAAAACCGGGAATTAAGAAACCGGTTATGCTTTACCATGCACGACAATCTTCTACTCTCCGTGGAGAATGAACGCCTTAGCTCCGAATACGTTACCCTTATGGCTACACTCTCGGATCTTTATCAAATTTTAGGCACCATGATTTCACAATAGTTGATTTACATAGTCATCACTTTTAATTTAACTAAATAAACTTAACAACATCAAAAAGAGACTATGTGTATAAGGATATCGTTTTAGTTCACTAGCTACGTTTAATAAATTAAGCTCTTCATAGTGATCAATATCGCCCTCACCCCCCATCAACCATTAAAATTGAGATAGTTCTAATTTCAAGCTTTTTCTTTCTCTTTTATTATAAGAAGAGGAAATGTATGTGCATGGGGTGGTTTCGAGAAACCCCACGTTGTTATTGGAAGGAGATTTGGGAGGTGGTGTGTTGTCACTTTTGTCTTATGGTAGCTTTTGTAATTAAATTGTAAGAGATTAGTGGTGAGTGAGGGACAATTATTTGAGTCTCGATGGGTATGTTTGTGGAATATGCTGATGTTTGTGTCGATCAGAATTTAATGTAAATACGCTAGTTATGGGCCAAGGAAGTGTTGTTTCTTCTTTTTGTGTCTTTTGGATAATCGTCAACTATATCGAATTGTTTGGTTGAATTGACTATATATGACTTGATGGGGACAAAGATATTTGGTTGATCATGCCTTCTGCCTTGTCCCTCTTAAAATAAAAGAAAATAAACAAAGCTGCCTCAAGAAAGAAGTGATTAAAGAAAGAAAAGAGACGTGTGGCCAAATTTTCGGTAATGAGGTCACTGGACCCACACACATGTGAACAGCTCTGTTAATCATAAGTCATGGAATTACCTTACTCTAAAGAAAGAAAGAAAAAAACTAGGTAAGGTTTTTTCTTTTCTTCATTCAATTGTATGAGTGCATTGAGCCATAGACTAATTTATTTATCCATCGATTCATAAGTGACAAATATTGAATGAGATTTTTCATTAAGTGAATTGTTCTGATAACATTTAAATACATGATACTTAATTATTTTGTTAACTTAGAGATGATAAAATAGATTCAGATTCTATGAATACTTGTATAGAAATGGATACAAGACAGATATAAATCTGTAAAATTTAATGAATATGGGTGCGAATGTGGATAATATGGTACCCAATATGCCTCATCCCACATTTATATATAAATATAATATAATTATTTAATGATAATTTATTTATTTATATATATAAATATACATTAATTAGTATAATAATATTGTTATTATTTTAAATCCAAGATACAAGTTAAAGTTATTAGAGTATTTTTTCCTTAAGCTTTATGATAGCTCATTTTTAATTTTAATTTCAAAAAAATTATCTTACTCGTTATTTGAAGAGTATCAAACTAAAATTAAGATAAAAATGAAATTTTCAACTTTACGAACAGATGTCAATAAATCAAACTTAGATAATCTAAGTATTAGAAATTTTCTTAGTGATTATAAATTATTTGTGAATGATACAATTGAAACTCAAACAAATTAAAGTATGAAATAGAGTTCTACTTGGAAGAAAAAGATTTGCCTATGAGTGCAACTTTTGACATTCTTGGATGATGAAAAATAAATGGAATCAAGTATCCAATTTTGCAAAAAATTGTTAAAGATGTTGGCAATCTCGATTTCAACCGTAATTTCAGAATCTGCATTTAGCACATAAGATAAATTTTTGAGTCACCATCGTTCTAGGCTCCATGAGTTTACTCTGAAGGCACTTATATATGTACAAAGTTGGTTGAAATATAGATAATAAAATAATAAATAATTAAGCTGTTTACTTAATAAAAGTTGTTTTTATTTTTTATTATATGTTTTAATTATTAACTTAAATTATCTAATCAAAAGTTGTTCATTTATTTTTTGAAATTTATAGTATATAATTTAATCTATAATTTTAATCTAACTAATTTTTGTATATTTTTTTTCATGTCTTGGAGAATATTGTTAACACATGATTATGATGTTAGATGTTTACTTACAACTTTTTTATGTTAATTTTTTAAAAAGTTTATTTACAGTAATAAAATATTTTGTAATATTTATTTATAAGAATTGTTAATTTAAATTTTTCTAATGTTAAAAACCTAACAAATTAATATTATGTTTACTTATGTAAAATATTATCTCTTTTATTTATTTATTTATCTTATACACAAGTAAAATACAAGTTGCAAGTGTGGGTATAAATATATAGATACCAATTAAGTATAGAAATAAATATTAAAATTATTATTAGTACGAATATGAAATTAAATACGAATATTATTTTTAAAAATGGATATGAGACGCAATCGCCAATTTTTATATTAACTTGGATAATGTAAAAGGAATTTTCATCTTAAAGATGGGTATGAGACGCCATCGCCAATTTTACTAGTGGAAAATTAGTATATTACGTCACCTATTTAACGTCGAACATACTAAAATCTGACGTAAAAAAGACGCGGTAGCATTTTTGTAATTTTCGTGAACTTTTTTTCGTCGGACCTAGTAGGGTCCGATGTAAAATGTCAAATCTACGTCGGATGTATGTTGTGTCCGACATAGATTTGACATTTTACGTCGGACCCTATCAAGTCCGACGTAAAAAAGTTCGCGAAATTGAATAAGAGAGTGCGAGGCACACCGCGCGCATTCACTCTTCATCACTTTTCATTTTTTTCTCTGTAAACCATCTCCCTCTCCTTTGTTACTGAATCATTTTTTTGTCTTTTGCAGAGTGGGGTGAACTCTTTGTTACTCATTCGCACACTGTTGCAGCTCATCAAGTATGAATCAAGGTTTCATTAACACCTTTTTGCTTCGCATTGCTATTGTGGCTATCTGTTCTATTCGATTTTTTGGTTGTTCTATTTGTATAGGTTGTTGGCCTTTTCTTTTAGGTTGTTCTACGAAGTAGAACGACCCGTTCTCCAAGCAGCACGGCACGTTCTCCATTCAAAACGGCCCGTTCTCCTTGCAGCACGGGCCGTTTTGAATGAAAACGGGTCGTTCTGCTTGGAGAACGAATCGTTCTGTAAGCACTCGTTATGTTTTTTTTTACTACTTTTTTACGTCGGACCTTGGTAATGTCCGACGTAAATTTACGTCAGTTTTACAAAGCCGACGTAGATTTACGTCTCCTGCATTAACGTTGGTATTTTTTCCGACGTAAAAAATTTAAAATAACCGACATAAAATACCTCTTTTGTACCGGTGTTTTCATATTAACTTGTATAATGTAAAAGGCATTTTCATCATGTAAAAAGAATTTCAGCAACTATATTCACTTACGTATCTAAGGATGGTTGCAACTTGCTACACTATTATTCAATACATATCATTAGATGCATGGATAACCCACACACCAAAGAAACAAAAAAGAAGAGTGTGGAATCGCCATTTTAAAAAGTTAATTATATTCTAATAGTTATGTGCTTTTTAACACCTGAATACTCACAGTTACTAAATTTTTCTTTTACGTTTTTAATTAATTTGGCGTGATTTATTGGCTGCACAAAGTGTTTTCAAACACAGGCTCTTTCACTTGGCAAAAGGAACATATCTAAAGGGAGGAATAATTTATTGCAAGAGGTTATAAGAGCAAATCTTCAATATTAAATGGGATATGAGTTCTAATATTATAATTATTAGTATTTTAACAAGTGTATTACACATATAAAAAAAATAACTATTACATTTTTTTACGTGTTAGTGAAATTAGTAATACATCTGAATTAATTGTGGATTAAATCGAGAATATTGAACAACTAATAAATAATTTATGAAATTTATTATTTTAATCGTTAATTAAATATAAGATATTTGATAAATTAAATTATCTTTTCATAAATATTAACTTAAAAATCACTTTTAGGTTTGAAAGTATATATCTAACCTCTATTTAATTAGAATTTAAAACCTATTTTTAGTGCAGATTAAATATTATTCCGTTCAAAAGTTACAGTGAAATTTGATAAAGTTTAGGATTAAAAATACATTAAATAGTCGACTAGACCAAAAGTAATATTTTTCTTTTGGAAGTATTGTATTATCTTAATAAACTTGTATTTTATTAACAATTATATATATATTTTTTTTTCTTTAACATGATTATTATTATTTCTATAATTTCAAAATCGTGACTCAAAATTATAAAGTTAAGAGTAATTATAAAATTATTTTTTTGAAAGATTACAATTAAAAAAGAAGAAGAAACTGGAAATATTAAAATGTTAGTGTGACACACAGAAAAATAAATTAAAATATAACATTAATAAATATATATTAATTTACATGTGAGGGGGTGGGAATGAAAAATTAATTGAAGCCGCAAATTGAAATATTGTCTAAGGCGTGTGCAACCCCTTCTTCTCATTGTTTCTCAACCATGCGCGCACACAAATTCATGCTCAGGTCTTGGGTCATCCCAAACGAAAAATGCAACGCACGGTCTTGGTGTTCATTATATTGAGGTATGGTTTCCTTTTCTGCTAAAATTCCTATTTTTCGTTTTTTTTTTGGATTCATTCTACATTAAGTAGTCTTGGAGATGGGTTTTGTCTTTAATGATAAAGCTAATAAAAGAAAATGTTAAATCACAATATTGTAGTAAAGTGGGGAGCTATGAATGTTTATGAATTTTATTTTATTTTATTATTAGCTTATGTTATTTAATTTTGTCTAATTATATTATAGTTTAAATAAAAATAATAGATAGATAAGTATTATAACAAAAAATATATAAAATGATTGTTGTATATATTATTGTAATAATTCCTAAATTGTAATCTAATTAATGTTTAATTGTATTGTAATATATAAAATATTAATAAGTATACATTAATATCTACTAAATTGTGATGCAAAATATTTATAAAAATAAAAATAAAATAATGATTGAAATATTTTTAAAAAGTGATATGAAATTTATTTTAAAAATGATTTAAAATTTAATTTTAAAAAATAAATAATAAACATCGCATCATTTAAATAACTGTCACAATGTTAATATAGAGACAGTTTTTGCGATAATTGATTGAGGGGTCGCAATATTAATATAGAGGCAGTTCGTGCGACGAATATACAAAGGGTTGTAATATTAATAT